AAACACAATACCAGGGGAAAGACTAAAAACCCTTAAGTTGATACCTATTTTTTCTACACTTAAAAAAAAATCTTCAATGTACAGAAAAGTTGAGCAAATACTAAGTACCCCCCACCTATCCCCTTGATTCAGCAATGAACCGTCTTCCACACTTGCACCCTCCCACACACACGCACCTCGCCCCGACCATCTGAAAGCTGCAAACATATTGACACTTCACCCCAAACACCTCATACCATTGCCATTCTGAATACCGAATCAATGCCAACCTTCTTAGCTAACGTACAATCCACACACAAATTTCCCAATTATTCCCCACATTTCCTTTACAGCTGCTGTTTTCAACCCAGGATCCAATCGAAGATCACACACTGCTGTTAGCTGTCATAGCTCCTTAGTCTCTACAAGAGTGCCTGGCCTTTTTCTGTCTTGACAATGTCATTTCTTAAGAGACTTGACCAGCTGTTTTTGTAGCATGTCATTTTGTCAGATAATTTCCCCATGACTACATTTAGGTTGAACACTTCTGACAAGAACACTACTGTGACGTGTGTCCTTCCCAGTGCACCCCAGAAGGAGGCTCACCACGTCCGTCTGTCCCCTCATTCGTGACACTGTTGATTCCTATGGTTAAGGTGGTGTCCGCCAGATTCTCTGTGTAAAAGTACTTTCCTCTCTTCTGCAGTAGTATTAACAAGTAATCTGTGGGACGGCATCTTGAGACCGCGAACGTCCTGTTCCTCAACAACCTTTCACTCAACGTGTACATTTTTTAAAACTTCCTGTTTCCCTGATGTCCCAACATCCTCAGGAACAAGCTGTGAAGACCCCGCCCGGGAGAGCAGGTGTACCTGTGCAACAAGGCTAGCCCCTGCCACAAGGCCCCCTTCTTGCCCCCCACTATGACGGAGTGACATTCAAACACACCAATGTTTGCCAGAAAGGCTGGGGACCAAGAGTTATAAAAAACAAACAACAAACACGCCAACGAAACCCCAACGCTTTATGCTCGTGTACTCCCGCGAGCCCCAGCGAAGGCACCTGCCGCAGGTCCTCCCTCCCAGCCCCCTCCCTGCTCGCTGGAGCCGCTCCCGGCACGTCCCACACGCCTCCCTCTCTAGGACCTGAGAGTAATAAATCCTTTAATCTCATGTGCCTGAGTGCAATTTCTGTGGCCATGTTGGCATGAGCCTCAAAGGCCCCACAGAGGGGACGGACTCCCCCATTTCAGCACACAGTGGTTTCGCATCCATTGCTGATACCTGCCTGAACCAATCATCGTATCTGAAGACGCAAGACGGCGATTTTCTAATCCTATCATTCCTCCTACATGTATCGGCTATCATTCTTCTACAAAGAAGAGCTCCACGCGCCACTTCTATTACTTTCCAGACTTAGGATTTTTTTACTCTTAATTCAGTACGTTACGCTCGATTACTATCTTTGGGCAGTGGCCCCACAAAGCTGGCTCTAGCGTCCTCCTGTCACGTCCACTAGGTTCTGAGCACTTCCTTGCGTTCCGGCACAAGATGTTCCGGCTCACCTTGTTCTTTCCCTACTCCAGACTTGAAATCAGCCATTTCTCCATGGAGCCCTGGTGATGATAACCTATTTTTACCAGGTGATTTACTTTTCACAGGGAAATACACTTAATTGGTTATTTTTTTACAAATTAACTTTCTGCTTGCAATATCTAGCTCTTAAAAATGAGAATCAAGGCCAGGCGCGGTGGCTCACGCCTGTAATCCCAGCACTCTGGGAGGCCAAGGCGGGCGGATTGTTTGAGCTCAGGAGTTCGAGACCAGCCTGAGCAAGAG